CTCGTGCTGTGAGTATTCCTTCTTGGAGGCATACTTCTAATACACATATTATAAGTTGAAGTTCGGTTATTCTCATTATTTACCACTGTGTTGCCCGACATGATTCAATCATCTAATCATGTAATCAACATAATAATATAACAACTTATAATAACAAGGCATTCAATCGATAATCAATAAAACTCAACTATCGATAGTCAAAAATCTCATAGGATCCATAAATAAAATATAAACATGCAATATAAAAGAAGATTGTTCACAAACCACAGCTATAAGCCTCAAAAGAAAGTCTTAAAGTTCATCCATCAATAACTGAACAAATAAAATCCTCTAACGCATAAGACTCCAAATAAGTAACCCCATCACTATCATCAAAGSTCCTGCTAACACCGCCAAGTAAGCGTGCAACCTCCTGATTGCCCTCCTAGCTATGAAGATCAACTCTAGTGAACGATCCATCATACTATTTTGAGTGCCTAGGGCTGTGATCACTCTATCTGCAAAGTGTCGATAGTGCTCCAGCCTAAGTTGACACATCTCCAAATCTTGAGATATACCCAAAACCCATAAATTCTCCAGGGTGGTCATACCCGGAGTACGCTCCGATGTGGTCCTAGTAGCGGGTGGAGGTGTTACACTACGAGTGCATGATCGTGATGGCTCGAACACATCTTTAGTTGGGGCGGAGAAAGTCATCCTCTCGGGTGGAGGAATGCTCATTCGGGTGGAGGAATGCTTATTCTTCTTCTCGCCCTCTTGTTGTTGGAGCTGTGGTGTCCATGGCATACTCTGTTGAGGAAGACAGAGCTACTTCTGAGTCAGATGAAGAGTAGACAGATAATAGTTGGATTACGTCTTCATCCTTTTGTCGCCCTGCTGGCTCTGCTTGGGATGCCATGGGCATCTTTCCCTTTTGAAGTGACAAGGTGGGTATGACTACCAAATAGCGCTATCCACAAGTGTAGAACTCCTACCGGACTACCTCAGCGGTGACCACTTCGTGTCACATGTGTAGAGAAAATTTTAATGACCAAGTGCACCCCTACTCAAAAGTAACAAGGTGGGTATGACAACCAAATAGCGCTATCCACAAGAATCATGGGTTCAAAAATGAATTAATAGTAGTGGAAATAAACGGGGACTTTAAGTCTGAACATATCAGTAGTGTATACATTTAAATGCGCATAACAAGATTCATATATCGATATAAATCGATCAAATATTCATTAATCATGCTTTCACCCCAAAACGAGAAATTGGTAAAAATGGGCCGTGAAACTCACTTTTGATGTGGAGCTTCGCAAGAGAAAGGGATACGATCTGAATACCGCGCTAGATCAACGATTCCCTATCAATAGGAATATCCAAAACCATCATTTATTGATTCATCTCTACCTATGGGGTTTAACAAATCCTAAGTCCTTATTTGTCTACTTTTGTTCCATAATATTATCAATAGTCCAAATATACATAATGTCCATATGCTCATTAAAGAATTAATTTATACTGGAAATGATGCTATAATCCAATAAAAGATCAAAATTTTCAAATTCAACCAAATCCAGAATTCTTGATTCTGGACAGAAACTTAAGATACATAAGATGATCAAATAAAGAGACTTCAAAAATGAGATAAATTCC